ATAATGAATGTCGCCCCGGCCTTGAGTTGGGCGCTCGCTTGTCTGCTTTTGCTTTTTCACAAAGATCATTTTTAAATTGACTATTGACATTTCTATGTGTAAATAATATTAGAAGTGGAATACTTTATTCAAAGTATGATCTATCAAATGTGAAAATTTTTCAAAAGAATAGCTTATTTCATCCCGAGATGATCGGAAGACCTTTATTTTGATTTAAAAATACAAAAAAATACAGGTTAATTAATTTTTAACTTTTTGAAACAAAAGCAGTTAATTTTTAACTTTTTCGTTAACCGTAACTGAAAGAAATTAACCGATAGCCGTAAAAGAGCTAAAATTTTAGCCGATAACCGTAAACGCCACCACCCCATTGAGACCCTCCAAAAACCCTACCCTTAAGGGCGGCACAAACCTATATGGCTTGTTTAAGGGAGAAAGAGAGAGAGCTAAGAAAGATGAGGAAAAGACACTCAAGTACAATGTAACAATGGTTACAGGGTTGACAGTACAACGTAATAATTGACGTACTTGGTGGTTACTCCAAACACATAGAGAAGTCGGTGAGGAAGCTACTAGGACTGGGAGCACGGAGCGGATGTAGAAGTCGGTCATCTCAAACACTTTGAACATTGCCAGAACGTTTAAGATAAATACTTAGTTAGGGCGCTAAGGACTCCAGTCTTTAGGTTTTTTTTTTCTCTAGAAATCCAGAAACACAAGTTTGTTGATGTTTTTACTTATATTTTTTAGAGTATTAGAGTTTGATATTATTCTAAATAGGCTTTTAGTAGAGATAACCACATTATGATGGCCTCGTTTAGGTATATAGGAGATAATGAGAGTATAAAAACTGAATAATTTTCTAAATAAACTCCTAGTAGAGATAATTATATGATCATCATGTCTTTGCGTAGGTTTTACAGAGTATAAGAATTTAATAATATTCTTAATTGGCTTTTTAAGTAGAGAGATTCATATCATTATGTACATTAGGATCGTATTAGGTTCCGTAATGACCTTTTTTTACTTCTAAGTATAGCTTCTCAAGTGGTGTAGGTTACCATGCGCCCTCATAATGTGGACAGCATTCCAAAGTTTTATACTGCGAGATAATAATAATAACAACAATAATAATAAGCTAATAACACATGGAAGAATGGCACTGAAGCATAAAAAGTTCCTCTATAATTTCTTGTAATCATGTCATCTCACTTTTTTCTGTGGCAGGCCACGGTGCTGTGATAAGCGTATAATAAAGTTGTTTTTAACTGTTAATGGCACGCTTGGTGAAGATAGGGTCACCAAAAACTGATCCTCTCCACTTCATGCAGGGCCAAGGGCATATATATCATTCATCATTACTTAGATTAGAACAGCAACAAAAAAGATTTCTTATTCGCATCGCTTCTCTCTCTTTCTTACTCACTTGGAATTGAAACAATATCAGTACGTTTTACACTCCCGTAGTTCCGTTTAAAACCATGCCTGATTCCAGACCAACATGGGCAAAGTCTATACCCGTTTTCAAACCAAAACGGGGCAAAAACCCTACCCAGTGGGGCGGCACTAGACTGCTCACAGTCCCCTATTTTTCCGTGAGATCGTCAAGATATAGCGCGTCTTACCATTAATGGCGGCCATCTTGATTTTCAAAATGTACCGAGGGGCGGGCGTCGAGGAGTAGTTTGGACACTCATGCCAGCGTAACACACAGCGCTCTATCTCAACGATCTTACGGGAAAATAGGGGACTGTGAACAGTCTACTGTAGGGCGCCATATACCACTATGGCTTATATAGGTGAGTACCCTCCGGGATATCAGTCTGCAATTCCAAATTTAGAACTGTGGCTTTTCCTGTCCCAGTAGAGGGGTTGATAAAACACAGAGAAAGTCATTTTAGTACAGCAATTGGTGAGCCAAATTACATCGGTTTGGGTGTTAGCCTGCGTATTTGAATCGCTTGTTTATTCAGTAGTAGTACAACAGGGGTTCTTAAAGACTGTTTTCTGTAAAATATCTGTTTGAGTAGGTAAATATTAGGATCAACCATTCGCTTTCGGATTCCTAAGATTTCGAAAGTGAATTTTTCACATTCCCAAGATTTGGCGATTATTTTGATACAAAAAAATCAACTTTAAATTTCGATATAAAGAAAAATCATCCTCTAAAATTTCCTAATCTGAACTTGGTATGGAAGGGCCCATAAAGTATGGATACTCCTGTCCTCGCAGTTTCGACAAGTCTGGATAGCTAAAACTCCAGGACTGAGACGGCTTGAACACTGTTGAAAGTGGTCCTAAAATATCCGAACAATTAAATAGTATTTCAAATACTATGGCAAATAATAGGGTAGCCCCAAATTAACGAAAAAGACTTCTAAATCATGAAAAAAACTAATTGAGACATTTCTGACTTGTCTACAGAAATTTTCAGTTGGGTGTCACAACACCACGCAGCTTTCTTAGTAATACGATGTTGCTGATGCGTTTAGTCTCCTAATTCATTTATGCTTTTTAACTGTTTTAAGTTCCTCAGAATGCCCTTTACTGTTTGCAAACATATTCTCGTTTTGAACCGAACCGTCTTAGAGAGGTCCAGCCATGTAAAAAAGCCATACAGCAAATTGCATACGGCAGACCAGGTAGACCGGGATCTAACTCTAACTCCGTTTAGGAAGAATGAAGGTGTTTGTAGCTTAGCTTTAGTTGAGAGTGCCTGTCTGAAACTAGGAAACGTCGACCGATGAAAACTGTTTCACGTACTTTTAAGTCACGCCACAGTGCAAAGAAAGTCAAGTTCTTTGTTGTAAAGAATGTTTCCTATTTGATTCCTGTGGCCGGAATCAAGTAGACCACATATCCTAGCAAATTAAGTATTCCATTGTTTCAAATTAAGTAATCCATTGAATAGCCTTTTGTTATGGGACATTTATGAGCTCTTTCTCACCAAGGATACGAGTCGCGACTATTTTATTTTTTGGTGGTTTTGTTGTTGTTGTTGTTGTTGTTTTGCAGAAGCACGAACACCAGAATTTGCTCGCGCGGTTAGCACTTGACTATAAACTATGAAAAAAATAAATAAATAAACAGGAGAAAAAATATGGCTACGTGTGGATGAGACAAATCAGTAATGGGGCTGTGAGAAGTGCGGGAAAGAGTGCCAGGTGGGAAAACCACATCCCCTTCTCCTCCTCCCAAATTGGTGCCGAAAACTGTACAGTATTTTCCTAGTCTTTTTGCTACCAAAGAACTTCCTACCATCCCTGAACCATCCCTCACATTCCTCGATCTGGGAAGGTGAAAGATGGCTTGGCAGCAAGCTTACGATCTCTTAACATTTGGAAGCTGCAATTTTTTACGAAGCAGGAACTTGGGTCAACGATTCATGGATACAGGATAAGAAGACCCTTATCTATTAGATTTGAAGAGTTGTGGCCTCGAAGACACAACTCCTATCTCGCTATCGCTTGATGATGAGAGGCCGGCTAGACTTTCTAACGTTTCGCGATGTAGAACTAAGAAAGCTAATTGGTCACTGCCCTCAAATGAAAATTAGCTTATCTTTTTTTATTGTTAGTACTGTACCCCCTGATGAAGGAACTATCCAATTTCAACAGATTTACTTTGTTGTGGCGAGACAATCACCCATCAGAGCATAGTCGCCAGCAAAGAAAACCCTTCCTGAAGTGGGTTTTCTTTGCCTGTGCTGAACTGTGGCTTGGAGCTTAGCCTGCAGATAGCAGAAGGAATTTTTGACAGTAAAAAGGGTTTCACAGAGTGACACTGGCGAGCTGGTCTTGGAATTTTCGCACCTAAGCGAAAATTTAGCAGGGTTGTTTCTTTCACAATGGCGTATATTTCGTGCCTCTGTTGTCTATTGGGAGCTTTGATGCTAGCTGGAATGGCTAACGGCCTGACTGGGTTACGTCTTAGAGGCGGAAAGCATCGCTTTGAGGGTAGAGTGGAAGTTGAATATAATGGTCAGTGGAGAGGCGTGTGTGACCATGGCTGGGACCGGAATGCGGCGATGGTTGTATGTCGAATGCTTGGATTTCCTGACGCTTTGCGCTATTTTAGAGGGTTAGTATCGCTAGTCTTCAAAATCCATTTTTTTCTAGTTAGAATTAATAACATTGCAGTAAAGTTATATCGTATCTTTTTAAAAATATTTTATATTGTTGCATCTCAAGTCATTCAAGTCGACGTTAATTATCACAAGACACGTAAATACACTTTTGTGCAGTAAAATATTTACGTGTAGTTGAATTTTATTTATATAACCTATGATCCCCCAAGTGGAGAGCGTGCTCGGATGCTGGGGATTGACAAGCAATTCAGATTTTCTACCAAAGACATTCAATGTGCATCAGGAGCCTAAATTACACCCGGGACATTAAACAAGTGTTAGAAGTTATCAATAATCTTTCAATCTGACACAATTGTTCATCTATTTTGTAGATTACTGGGATATTTTCTGTAAGAGGAGATTTTCTATACTCGGTTATAAACGGGTAGCACGCGCATGAGAGATAGTTGGTCTCTGAAGCTTTTGATCCAATCTCGAAATCTTGGAATCATTTGTGCGCGGAGATGCGTGCCTGCCTCGCGCACTGTCAATTTAGACCTTATTCGTCAGCTTGAATAGAAATAATACGAAATAAGAACCATCAATGCGCCTTAGACCACAGAAATCTTCATTCGTGACAGAAAATATAGTATTTCGTGATTTCCATTCCGACCTCACAGCAATCAAGATGTGGGGCAAATAATTAATCGAATTACATTAAGAGACCATAGTGGTCTTCTGATGAAATGTATTTGGGAGACCCGAAGTATACCCCTGCATACGATATCTGCGCCATGAGCCTATAACCCACTATTGTATGGTAATTTAAAAAGTTATACGAATTGCGGACCGGCTCGGTGTAGTCTCATGTAACAAAAGAGTGTATTCAACCGTTAAATGCTAACGGTTCTGAGGATGAGTTTAAGCCGAAAAACCAACGCAGCGAATTCCTCTGCAAGATACCCTGTAATCATCTAGGACTTCTAGGGGAAAAGTTCCGGGGGAGGTTGCCTCTCTCACTCTCTCTCTCTTCCCCTTTACTCCCCCCGCGGGGGATGCTCCCTGGTATGTGCTTCTGGGTTATGGTTTTTGACCTCTCTTCCCTAAACAGGGTATATAATTTTGAGCGAGTCTGTCCTAATTATAAACAGGATGAAATTTGTTTGCAATCCAAGTACACAAAAGCAATGACTATATCGGGAATTTGCTCTATCGCGATTGCCTGTAAATGGCTTTAGAACAAAACGGCGTGCATTTCATCCTTTGTCCTTAACAGGGTATTAGAACTGAGGGTGTCGTCCTAACAGGGTCAGGGTTTCAGACCCTCAGCGGCTCACCTATACCCAAATATTGGACAAGTGCCCCCCCCGGTTTTTTCTCCTCTCTGACTTCGCGTCCCACGTCCCGCGTCCCACTCCGATATATGACACCTGGCACAGGCTAACCACTAACATACAGCTGGCTTTCTTCAAAGGTCCGAACACTTTGGTAAAGGAACAAAGGACTTTTGGCTGGATGACGTAAGATGTTCCGGATATGAAACCTCCATAGCGCAATGTTCTCACAGAGAATGGGGACACCACAACTGTCAAGACATCAACCCTGCAGGGGTCATGTGTAAACTCCATATCAACGACATGATAGTTAAGCCCAAGCATTCCGAGGCTAGTGGTAAGGTAATCTGCCAGCTTTTTTGCTTTTTTATTACCATAAAGCTTTAGATTCGAGGACGAGAACGACTACGAGTACGAGATTTTCTCAATACTAAGCAGTGCTCGCGCGTGAACCAGCGAAATTTTGGCGGGAAAACGTGATAGCCGTCGTCATTCTACTACGAGTTTCAGCGAGAATGTCGTGTTAGCGGACATAAGTTATAAAGTGTATTTTGTGGTTGGGAGATAGCTTAACCTCCTTCAATCAAGATAACAGTGCAATTTTTTTTTGGTGAAAAAGATGTACAATGAAGCTATCCGGGAGACTATTATTTGAGAATGCGCGAAAAAAATTAAGTTAAATCTCGTACTCGGAGTCGTTCTCGTCATAGAATCTAAAGGTCTCTATTTTTAAGCTCTCTACTGTTACAGTGGAATTCGGTTAATACGGACACGATGGGGACATGCCTTAGTGTGCGTATTATCTAGGTGTTCCATATAAAGCGGGCACTCGGAAAAAAAGTCACGGACACTTTTTTAATTATCTTAAGACTAAAGCAGACATTTTTACGAGACGTCGTTTAATTTCTTAAAGTTAGCTATAAAAAGTTCATCCTAAAAAACTTCACGATCACTTATCATAGTCTCTGACTAGAATTAACCATTCAAGTATTCTTGTCTTGAAAAACAACAAAGGAATCCGTGACTTTTAATTTGTACTTGCGCTTTTGCGACTCAGCCAGTGGACTGAATATAAAACAAAGCCTTTGAAAGTTCATCCGCTGTTCCTGTTAGTTGTTCACTGGTGTTTCACAGTTATAGACAGATGTAGCTATAGACAGTGCTCAAGTAAACAATGTCCGTAAAGAGGGGTTGACGATGTATGAGAGTTTGTAATTAACTAGGGACACAGAAAAGTGTCCGATGTCCTTATCAACCCGTGTCCGTATTAAGCGGGGCAATTTGATAGAAAATATATGAGCCTTTCGTCGGGACAAACAAAACTTATATACGGATGTCCGTATTAGGCGGGTTTCCCTAGAGCAGGGTTCCATTGTACTGTTCTTGCGCCGGTTTTCGTTACGGTTGCTATTTTTTTTGTTGTCGTTGTTGCTGCTTTTGCTACAGGTTAACCAAGAGAAGATGATAAAATTCAGTGACTGAATATCTGAAAGGAGTGACCAGGTCCCCGTCTTAGTAAAGCGTCCATTTTATTGAAAATCACAGAAAATGACTGAAGAACAGCAGACACCAACTCTAGGTGTCCGTCCGTTCCAGGGAGGTGTCCGCCGACACAGACAGTTCTACGTGTCCGTTTTAGGGGAGTGTCCTTCTAAAAAAGAGGTCCCGTGACAGCGTTGACTGTAACACACACTTTTTAAAATCAAGATCGGGGAAGTCTGTAAGAGGTGCTGTCCAAGTATTTGTATAAAGAAAGGTTAGCCTTGCTTCGACAGCTTGTCCGGAAAAGTATATTATGCGGTAAGAGACAAAACTCTTATCGCGCCTTAATTGCTGTAATCGGACTAAGCCTCTAAGTTAAATACTCAATACTTAAACTCGTGAATGGCCTAGAAAAGTCTCACATATTGTATTGTAGAGGATTTTAGTCGACTATAGGGCAACTTCCAGAAAGGCGCTTCCTTAATATGTAAGATTCATAATATATAGATTTGCAGTAAGCATCTGTTCAAGTCAGGAAGGCCACTAAAGTCGTAAATTGTAAATAGTGTCAATATTTAGTGTCAAAACTACGAGACGTATAAGATTGACGTTTCTATTGGAGAGCAAGTTTCAAAATCATATCGTGGCAAAATGCCTTCACAAGTATCAGTGAAGGTCACATAACGCATCAAAATTTGCTTCTATAATGGGTCACTTACTGTCCAAAGCTTTGAAGCACGATACACCAAACAGTTAAACTCTTTTGGAACCTTCAACATTCATACGCTATGGTCTGTGTTTTCTTTGCAGGTCTCAAAGGTGAAAATAAGACTGCGAGGCCCTGTTGTGCGTGACTACATCTCTGAGGGTGTGGTCCAGGTGGAACACGAGGGAAAGTGGGGGTACATCTGTCCTTCTGGCTGGACATCTGTCAACTCGTACGTGTTATGCGGACATCTTGGATTCCCAAACGCTGAGGAGCAGGAGTCGTATTCAGTGACGATACAGGAGATGAAGCCCGTTTATTGGCTGGACCAAGTCACGTGTAAGGGGTGGGAATCGACAATCATGTCATGTGACCATGCGGGGTGGGGCCATCATCATTGTGAGAGTGGTGGGGTGTTAAAGATCAAGTGCACTCGAAGAAATGAAGGGAAGGTTAGTGGCATTATTTACCACCATCGAGCGCGGTGATTAGCGATCAACATACAGTTTACTCCTAAAGGCCCATTTACAAAAACTACTTTCAGTGTGATTTTTGCTGCAATTTAAGCAAAGAATTTTTAGGCGCGACCTCACATGTACCTCGCATATCAAGGCTGAGTCTAGGTACAGTGTAAATAACATTGAGAAGAATTATGGAATTTCTCATAGTATTATTCATGAAAATGAGCCTTACCGCAAAGACAAATTTTGGAGAGCTAAAAGAAAACTCAATTTTTTAATATGTGTGCCCGATGTTTCAGTTTGAAACATTGATCAAGAAGATAAACTGTATGTATTTCAAACCGAAATAACGGGAATAAATTAGCTGTCCTTTCTCTCTTTACCGCAAGGATCAGTTAGCTGCTAATTATTCGATTTTGTCCTTTGTACTGATCCACAATTTGAGTTTTTTTTTGAGACTCAAGCACTGACTCATTGGTTTATAATTATTTTTGGCTCATCTATTTTAAGTTTTTTTTATGATTCATCATCTCAATGTTATTCTCGTTTTATATCTTTTCCATTATTTCTGTAATATAACGGATTTTCATACAGAACCTATGTGAAAATATGGCTGATTCACTTATGCACATTCCCTACCTTCTAAATTGGACTTCCGGGATTGGATGAACTGTTCATTTACACTTACAGGAGCCCATAACCTGGAGTGTGCAACTTCCATACTTGGCTTATGCTACGGCGTTTTCACAGACAAGTTTATTTTTAGCACTATTATGCAACACTTTTTCCCGCGAAAATTGAAACACTGTCTCGTATGATTGCGCATCCTAGGACGATAATAACAAAAAGAAAATTTTAAATGTTTTCAAAACATGAGAAAAACAACCTCTATGTCTCCGGTTTTGCTGATGGATTTGTAGTGCTTATGAGATAGTTCAAAATTCGCGGAAAACTCGATGTAACAATTAATGAACTGGTCTGTGAAAACGCCGTTGCACCGGCAAAAGGGAGTTGCTCGTTCCGGGGGAACTCCCTTATAAAAGTGACAGGGATCCTCGTAAGAAAATCAAAATTAAAGCTCTAAGGGAGACCAATGTAGGTGTGGCTCAAGCTTAAACTAACCCCTAAAGGAGACCATACCAAAACAGACGTTGCGGCTTTTTATAAATTTCTTTATCTACAGCTCTAAGCGATACTTAAATGAGCAAATATAGAGACTTTTCGTCCCAAACACCGCACGTGAGACCAAAATCTTCAATTTACACTCCTAAGCGAGACGACAAGCATCCCTGTCACTTTTATATGGTAGGCCCCCCCCCCTCCCCCCTTCCGAGGAGAGGCTCCTGCTTATGTCATGTGACTTCACTCATTTAGCCACTAGAGGTACGTCTTCGTGGTGGAGTCCAGGTCTCCGAAGGGCGTGTGGAAATTAAACACGGTGAAGTCTGGGGCACTATCTGTGATGACCACTGGACTCTAAATGAAGCAAATGTCGTCTGCAGATCACTAGGATATGGGTCAGCAGCAGAAACAGCAAGGAATTCGTATTACGGGAGAGGAGTTGGAAGGGTCAGTGATCTAGTTTTAGGTTATGCGTATCGCTTCGTACCATTAATCCGTTACATAAGCAAACATGTTATTAACCAATATTTTCCAGTGGCCGGAGAGATAACGTTTAGATAACGAGGAGATACGGAATTTTTGTCCCTTTTCACCGTGATTGATTTTCCAGGAGCGTTTTCGTGCTTACACGCGAAAGTGCACCTGGCATTACAATGGTGTTTATATAGTTAAAACGCACTTTATTAATTTGAGTGTGAATATACTTCTAACACGATAATTAAGGACACTGTTTTACCTTTCCTACTGGAGACGAAACTCCCTTAAATTTACGTGTTCAACCGAGCAGGGCGAACAACTTAACCGTTGTCTATTTTAATAATACAAAAATATGGTTTTCCCTTCGTCAATGTTAGGAAATAACAGCAATTACGCGCACGGTACAAACATTTATGTTTTGTTCAACATTAGGCCAAGGGTGGGCGAAAAAGGAAAAATGAGGTAAAAAAGTATCAGCCTTCCCATCACTTTGACGATAATTGCAGTTCTACCGTGGTGGAACGAATAACTGCGATTTTAAAAACCTTGGTAGTTATTAAGTGCTGAAAATCTGATATATTCTTATTCCAGCGTCTTTCATGGTATCACTTGAACAGTACGAAATCTAAATTTTAGTCAGTCTTATTACAATTCCTAGTGTTTGTATTTCAACTCACAAAAAGGCTCGACCTGATCAGTATTAGGCTATCTATGTTCATTCTACACCGGATAGCTTTTGCGCCTGCGCGGCGAAAACTATACCGGATAGGATTTCTAGATCTGTTGTAACGTAAGAAAGTTGCCTCGTACCCAGACGTCTCTCTTTAAAACGTGCGCGCAAAGGAAGGCGGGAAGGAGACAACCCTTCCCATGGTCCCTTGCGGCTCATCACAAGTCACTCGTTTCGCCCTCGCCTCTGCCATGCGAAAAACGAAGCGCCTGAGGTAGCCTGCGTGGCAGGCGCAAAAAGGGGAGGGGGAGGGGGGAGGGAGAAAGGGAAAAGGGAAGGGAAGGCCTGCTCTAAGAGCCTATGTTTTTGCATAACGCCTACCAATTTTCTAGTAATCCGATTACGCTTACTGTCAATCAAGTGTCGCTACACTCGCCATTGCAGAAAAACATTACATTCACGGACTAAAGAAATTCGCTTAGTTATTCAGATCCAGAAGGCACTTTGGAGAAAAACCCTTATTCAGCCGTAATAAAAAAAGCTTTACGCTTCAAAAGAGGTCAAAGAAATTGCGCTTGCATCAGAGGGCAAATCCTGCCGACCAGAAAACAATAACTAGAGTCAATCGATATGTATGCCATGACCTCTCAGTGTGAAACATGCGGCTAAAATAACATTTGCTCAGTTTGAATGCAGAACCTTCCAGAGCATAATCTACCCAGCAGATAAAAACAACTTTATAGGAATAAGCAGCTTTTTGGCATGAGGTAAAACCACCCTCTTTTATTGCTAAGTTACATCGGCGAATGTATCGTTCGATAAATTGACTAAATCTTTCGCTGGGTAGCCCAACAATTCCATCTCCTGCAACTGGTCTTCGATAATACTTTTCAGTGGCGAAATGACGAGAATCGCCGCATTACCATTTAGCTCGTAGATCTTCGCGCGTACAAACATTTGGTAAATTAAACTCTTGCCACATCCGGTCCGCAAAACCTCCAGAACATCTCTGTCGGCTAAAAGAGCCCTTATTGCTGATTCTTGCTCTGGTTTTAAAACAGTTTCTCTACCACTAGATAAATTCACATCTCTCAAAGCACTCTCTACGACATCCACGTCTACCGCTGCCATCTCGACTGTTTGTTGATTTGTGAAACGCGCATTTCAATTTGTTACTCAATACGGCTCAGCCAATCAGGAATTTGCGGACGCCAGCGTCCGCAGATATGAACAAAAGGGGGTTCTTAGAGCAGGCGTCCCCTCCCCCTCTCCCCAATCCCCTCCCCTTTTTCCCTTCCTCCCTATCCCCTACCCCCTACCCCTTTCGACGCCTGCTACGCAGGCTACGCCTGGGGAGGAGGCTGGTAAGAAAGGTGATTTCGCGCGCGATTTATGTAACGGCGCGAAGCTGCGCAGGGCTGATCTCTAAAAGGGAGGAGCGGGGGGAGGGTCGCATATCGGATAGTTGTTCATACTATACCGGACAGCTTTTGGTGTCCGCACGAAACTTAGCTATCCGGTAGATTTGCGCATGACCGTGTACCTCTCAATCTTGTTCCCCAAACTGAATGACTTTTCTTCATTGTTCTGCTAGAAGCTAGGGCTTCTTGTGAGGTCCGTGCTGGGTTTCTTTAAGACTGATTCCTAAGTGACACTTTCTCGAGTGCAAAATGAGGAATGCTGTCAGTACTCTAGTCAGTCCTGGAAGGTAGTTCTAAAACAATTGTTTTAAAAATAAAGAAAATGCAGACCTTTCTGAGATTTTGAAGAATGCTCCTTCATATGCGTATCGTTCAGTGGTAAAAGAAAATAGAGAAAACAACCAACTTTTCGATGTTTTACTGATCATTACTGTTTTAAATTAATTACTGTTTCGACTTTAGGTCATGATGGATAACGTTTACTGCCGAGGAACGGAGAAAAGCATTGATCAGTGTCGTCATCGTGGCTGGCACAGATCGAACTGCGATCACTATGAAGATGGTGGAGTCAAATGTCACGTGCCACAGCTGCAAGGACATAAGGTACGCATACTCCAACCTAAAGTAGTACGTACAGGTTGTCTGATATATGATTTAATTTTGAACCCAATTTACCAATCCAGCATTGATTTTAGCCGTGAGGTAATTTTTTGAAACGTCAAGCATCGTAGGAATTCACCTTTAACTGCTCAGACGCGCAACAAAATGAAATGAGTCCTGCCGTTTTATACATTGAGTGGGCTGCGTGCTTAGCCCAGTTTCGCTGGGCTTTGATAAAGGCTTGTAAAGAATGCTGGTGCTTTTATTAATGTCCACATCGACATTAAGTAAACTAATATCGGTTGTGTTTTTTTTTCTCTGTTTCTCCCTTTCTCAACGGACCCTGATGACTGCTTTTCGATGTGTTATATTGCCCCATCCCGATTTATATCGGCCAAGTTTTCACTGCCTCTAATAGGCTTGTCCCGTAAAATGCTGGAAAGATGTTTAAAAAAATGCCAAAAATCCAAAAAGTTGCTACCTTCATTTCAAAATTTGCTACATAAATTTCTTGATATTTTAAATTTAAACGTTTTTCCGACTCCTCCAACAAATTTTCTAAAGAAAGCGAAACGCCCCGGGGACAAGAGTTTGCGATTTAAAGCGCTTCTACTTCAATCGTCATTAGAAGATTTCAGTGCATTTTATAATTTTCAACAGATAAGGCTCCGTGGCGGTGGGTACCCTCGAGAGGGGCGGGTTGAAGTGTTTCATGATAATGGATGGGGAACAGTTTGCGCTGATGGATGGGGGATAGAGGAAGCCATGACAGTCTGCAGACAGTTGAACCTTGGATTCGCAGGCCGAGCTGTTACCAACGATAAGTTTGGTGATACCGATCTGAAAGTTATTATGTCTGGAGTTAAATGTCGCGTTGACGAGATCTCGCTTTATTACTGTCAACATGATAACTGGGCTAACACCACCTGCAGCAGCGAGGACAAGGTTGCGGGAGTTGTTTGTGTTGATGGTATGTTACTACTGAAAGACCTAGATCACGAGTTCAAAGGCGTGACAATAGCTAACTACGAGAAAATGACTGGACAACCGACAATTTGATTAACAATAAACGACTGTTCAACTCTGAAAATAGACCTAGCATCTATTTTTTCATTGATTTTGATTGGTTCTGATGTGTTATTTAGTTAAATTTCATTGGCTAGTGGCATTTGCTACTTGATTTTCATTGGCTCTTTAACTGTCCGATTTGACCTGACAGATTACAAGCTCCTGGTAATCGGACAGGTCGAATAGGACAGTTTTTGGAGTTGCAATAGCACTATTAAGCTATAAATATGGGCTGTTAAGAACCAATCAGATTCAAGCATTTTATTATTAGACCGAATTGGACTCCACTCATTCTTATTACCATTATTTATCAGGAACTCAACAGATTTTAGTCATTTCTTATAATAGTCAGTTAACATTATTATTGTCAATTATTACTATTACTATTGTTATTATTATTATTATCATTACTATTGTTATTTTTGTTATTATTTTCATTGTCATTATCACTATCATCATCATCAGCATCATCATCGTCATCATCATCATTATCATTATTTGTATGAGGGACGTCTGCTTGCTTGTTATCAGATTATACAGTATGCTGTTGCATGGCAGATACACCTTTCCCTTTTTTTTCTTTTTGCATTTTAGCTTTACCGGATATTGTCCCTGATATTGATGTCCTTCGTCGTGATATGCGATTGAGCATTATTCCTATGCAGTACCTGAGGTGCCCACTGGAGGAAAATTGTCTTTCGGATTCTGCAGGTTATGTCATCAGGTAACCGAGACGTCACTTGTGATTCAGTCAGTGCGTCAATCAGTCAGTCAGTAAGTCATTCAGTTATACTATCAGTGAGTCATTCCATCAGTGAGGCAATGCGTTTTCCTAGAAGTCTAGCTTGCGTAGCTTATTCTTGTGCCCGCGGTACTCTCTTGGCAGCCGAGCCGCCACGCGAAGCGAGGGGTGAAGCCGCGAGGGAAAAATTCAAATTGACTTGTACCCACACTTCTCGCGGCTCCACCGCCAAAACAGCACTCCCACGCTGATCCCGCCAGCTACGCAGGCTACCTGAAGTCATTTACTTAATATTGCCCTTCCCAATTAATCTTTCATCCAGTTCTCCTCTTTCATTTTATAACTTTTTCTTGCTACTACATTCACCAAGATTCTGTTCATTTACAGTGACTCAATATATTATATGCGGCGACTTTTGAGGTTTAGTGTTCAGATTGAAAATCGAGGGTTAGCAGATTTTCGTCCCGTGGTACCCAGAAGTGAATGGATTTGGCACAAGTGTCACAAGCACTATCACTCCATGGAGACGTTCTCCTCGTATGATGTAATCAGTAAGTTTCATTTTAATGACGACCTCTCACTGGAATTAGAAGTGGTGGCATTTTTGACATACGTCAGTTATTTGTCATATGTTGCTAGTAGCCTGATACCTGGAACTCGTAACTTCAGTGTACAAAGCTTTGGTCTCGGCGTTTTCACAGTCCACTAATTGTTTTCTAACGTAGGGACATTTTAGAGTTCGAGCAAAATGTAAGCTCCTATCCAAGAGTGCGCGCAGTCGTCGTATGTCGTTCTGAATAGTTTATGCGACTCAATCGATAACCTTTATCAATCGCACTTTCAGAGCACCCCCAAGAACCTAACATTAGTACGACTGGGGACGCAATGAAGCTCAATGATGTTCTTCGGTAGATTTGGGCCAACTATTAACAGGATAAGCCATTCAGGAGTATTCAGAGCCCTCCCTTGTCATTGTCCCTGCAGGTTTAAACCAGGGGGAGAAAATAGCAAAGGGCCACAAAGCCAGCTTTTGTTTAGAAGACAGTAGGTGCACGGCAGGATATGACAGGAGATTTAACTGTTCCGTACGGGGAGGCCAGGGAATATCCCCCGGATGTTACGATCTCTACAGCTGGAGGACCGACTGTCAATGGGTGGATGTTACAGATTTTCCACACGGTACATATTTCCTCCGAGTGCATCTGAATCCAGGGAACCAAGTTGCGGAGTCAGACTTTAGGAATAACGTCGCCAAGTGTTCTGTGTATGATTACGGCAACTTCGTCATTACCCGGAAGTGCTGGATTGGTAGGATTGAATTAAAAACTATGTTAATTACATTTAAAGCAATTTATGGGCTAGCTCTAAGTTATATTTGTGAACTTACTAATTTCAAGGAAAGTGGAAGGTACAACGTAACATGAGGTTAAACAAAGGACTCCTCCAACCAGCTCTAAGTATTATTAGGTGACCGGACCTTGTGGCTGAGGAACCAAATCTCTGGAACAGCTTGCCCGTGAATATTCGTAATGAGGAAAATTTTATGAAGACCAAGAATTAAGGTCGCGTTCCTTGTTTTGGAAATCCAAAAACTGGTTTTTAAACTCCGAGTGGATTTGTAGCTTTTGCGTATGTGCATCCTCGAGGGCACGGATGCCAAAATATCCTGGCGGCTTTCTACGAAAATATGATCGATGCCCACCGCGTTCTAGTAGGTTCGCGTGTGAGAGATCAGAGAGAGGGTGGGGCGGGGGGAAGTTTAAAAAAAGCCTGGTAACGAAATTGGCCCCTCTTCTTGAATTTTTATGACGTCATACGTTGTTGGAAGAGTTTTACCTAAGGGGAAGGGGGCTGGGTTCCCAACATAGTCTTTTACGGGTAGACTCAGCCCCGAGGTCCAGTCCCTTACCATTTCGGTGTATACCATTTTTGACAGAAAAAGCACCCCTTTCGTATAAAGATGACATACCCGTTTAGCGTTTATAGCTACTTAATAAGAATAAATCGCTGAAAAGGGAAGTCTTCCTGAAGTCACTACAGGGAAATATCAGATGGATGCCTTGATGCATTGACCGAGCGAAAAACCAACAACTGGTCAGCGGATAACGTTAAAAAATACATCGCTACAATGAGTTGAACACTTGGGGCCGCGATACAGTCAAATGACACTGGTCAGCGGGCGTCCTTTTTTTACAGCTGTCATTTGACCATGACATGGATATCTATAAAGATGTCCACCATATATCAAGTTAAAAACAGATTGTATATGCCTTGGACACACGTAGCTAGTAATGGCCGGTCATTAATAATTACAAGAAAACAGCCAATCAGAGCGCGCATAGTATTGAAGCCATATGATAAATAGCCACAAAGGCTCTTTTAAATAATTAAATGATAGATTTTCTACTCTTCTATATACTTCAACTCCTGAATTCCCTACCCATTAAGTTAACTTCGGCCTGAAAAAGGCTACTCTTTTGGGCTGAGCCTCCCCGTACATAGGGGATGCCCCCCGGTTTTACCGTTGCAGGTATTTACCAATTATTCTGTCTTAAGGCACGTCTTTTGTTTCTTCCTTGGTTAGAGGAATGTGACAGTGGAATAGACACACACGGTGGGAATTCTGGAGGGAATTGCTGTGTGTTTCCATTTCTGTATAAAGACAAACTTTATCACGACTGCACCATGGACGGTTACAGCAAAAAATGGTGTTCTACGTCGTATAGTTTTGTTGATGATGGAAAATGGGGACTGTGCTACACCTAGGTAAGTCTAATATAGCCGGACTATATCCACTGACGAGTGGGTACGAACTTGAAATTTACGTTCATGCGTAACACTGTAAAATCATTCCCATTTTAAAAGATCTTCACTGGTTGCCCATCAAATACAGAATTGAATTTAAAATTGTGTTGTTAACATTCAAGTGCCTCTACGGACTTGCACCACAAAATCTGGTTGATCTTATTGATGTCGCTGCCCAGTCAAGATATAATCTTATGTCAAGGAATGCAACTTTGTTGGTACCAGCCAACGTCTCGGTGCCTACCTACACTTGGTGACCGAGCCTTTCAGTCGGCTGCTCCCAAACTGTGGAACGGTCTTCCGGGGGAGATCAGAAACATTCAGAGCCTCACATCTTTTAAGCGAGCTCTCAAAACGTACTTTTTAAGATAGCTTTTTAATTGAATTATTCATTTATTTTTAAATTTTTAGTTTTTACGTGTTTTTATTTTATTATTATTTTATTATTATTATTTTTTTTTAACATAGAATTTAATCGACTTACATTTTTATAATAGCTTTTAATTCGACTTATTTTTATCTTATCGTCTGTTATTATGCGCATATGAAAATATTTCGATTGTGTATACGCAATATAAGTTTTATATTTATTATTATTTATTAAATAATAAGGAGCTTAAGCAAAGACTTTTTTGAGGGACGCACGCCAACCAGAAGTGAGGCCTTCTCCCTTTTTATATGCCTTGACGCCAACAAATTGGTTCAAATTGGAATGAACCAAACCACTGCCCAATGATTCAACAAGTCCACTTCCGGTTGACGTCTGACACTTAAAAACGCTGTTGCTTAAGAATATAGGCTCGATTACCAGCCGGTGTTCGGGAAATGAGCCCACGCTCCTCCCCCTCGTGGAGAACCGAGAGAGCAGCGGAAATCGAGCCTATAAATAACACGTTTGCGCGTGGCCTATTATACATTGCCTCTATTTTATTTACGCATGTAAATTTTACGTGCGTTCGCACGGAAAAATTACGAGACAGTGGAAATCAACCCTATTAGCGGTAGTACAAGAGGTTGGCGCCCACTTTGTGAGCTTGCACCTTTTGCTCTAAGCTTGCATAGATAAGTGCTACAAAAATGAGGGTGGTGAACGCTCACATGCGAGTGCGATCGAAGCGCTTGAAGGGAGCGCAGAGCGCGAAGAGAAGGCGTGTTTTCACACCATTCTACAACTAATGTTTGAATGTTTTTTTTTTCTTTTTAGAATGACGAAAGGAAGTTTATTTCCCAACAAGTCTTTCCAGCCAAACTAAATAAACCAACAATATTCTGATAATTGTCTCTTCATGCATCCACAGCCTTTTACGCATTAAAGGAATGAATAGACTTAAACTTTATGACTTATTCTCTTTCTATAAGAGCGTGCATGCATAACAGAAAGTTCACAAACTCAAACCACGCGGTCCCTTAACTACCATGTACATCACGGGATGACCCTGCAGTCGATGGTCTTAACGTGGTTTTCCACTGTCGCATAATTCACGATCGTACGCACGTAAATTTTACGTAATGAAGTAGAGGCAATGTATGGAAGGTCGCGCGTAAACGTAAACCTCGGCCAACTTTTAAGTAATGAGCGACCTTTCATATATGGCCTTTATTTTATTTACGCTCGTAAAAATTACGCAACAGTGAAAATCCACCCTTAGTCTGATATGTCGAACCTCTTCCTGCCCGGGAAGAATTAGGACAAAAACATGTCTGGGACTTGAAATGTATATGACACCAATTTTTCTTGTCGTTTTTATTTTTTCAATATGAGTAAAATATGTATCCGAAATTTAAGCTCGTCAAAAATCGTGCAAAACCTATTACAATCTTTCGTCTTCAAAACAAGCGAATTTGAAGACTGTGAGCAGTCTCTCTTTTGCTCGAAAATCTGTGAGGGAAGTGGGATATGTGATTATTTGAGCGGCGAAGCCAGGAAGCCGCGAGCAGCGTCTTGTGCGGGCGCCCTATTGCGCTGCCAAATTGACAAGTATGACGTAGAATGAATTACAACTGAGATGGTGGCAAATAAGAAGACTGATTGTCTTTGTCGTTATATCGAGGTTCTCTTTCATGACAGTGGAACCTTAAAATTACTGGGATAAAGTAACCGTTCGTTATACCAATCAAGGACTTCGTTATAGAGAGGTTCGATATCCAGGTTCCACTGTACTATAAAACTGGTGTAAGATTGGAAAACTGTTCACCTATACCCCCTAACCTTACGTTAACACTGATTTTTAACTTGCGGCAAAATGTTTGATTAGGGGAGGGGTGGGTGGACAGTTTCCCAGAATCCAATAATAAAGCTTCAGTAAAACGGGCAACAACTACGGGCAACTTGTTTTGCAGCATTGCTGCAACATGAGTTGAAAAGCGATGTTGCACGTTTTACCACCCACATTCAAACCTGTGTACAAACTGATTTGTTGCAAGACAGGTTTAGTGTGAGTGGTAAAACGTGCAACGTCGCTATTCAACTCTTTTTGCAGCAGTATTGCAAGACAAGTTGGATGTTTTTTGTTGTCAGTTTATCTCTGCTCTCAGAGAACACCCCATCCTCCCCCACCCCCCACCCATTCCTAGTCCTTCTTACTTGGCGCGGTGCCCAAGCTTAAGTAATCATGGCGTCCAAACAAAGATGGCGGTGGAAAATGTATTCTTGATACAGCGATGTATTCTAGCGTTCCTCCGCCGAATCAAGATTCTTCTGTAGCAAAAAAAGATGGTGAAAAAGACGAGAAAAATCCTCCGCGTGGTATATCCAAAGAGATGTGGGAGGTATTTATTTTAATTATGATTTATGGGAAAGTGAAAGCTTAAGTTTTAAATAAGCAATACTAGCTCTCTTACTCTTGGCGTACTTGCTGTTCTTCAGCTAATAACTAGGCGCCCCCTTCTTTCCAGAAATTTCAGCACTTAAAAGAAAGAAGAATCAAATTCTCTAAAACTTCAACGGCAAAGCGGATTAAAGACATTAAAAAGAAAGTCACGAACCCGGCAAATGATGAAGAATTAGCTATCCTTCGTGATCGTGATGTTGTCCATCAAGTAAGCAAGAAAAAGAAAGTGGATTCATCACAACAGCAAGAAAAGTAAGATGTTTCATTGCACATTAAGCAGTAGGCTTTTTTCAACTTGTTGTGAAACGCAACATGTAGAACTGCAACACAACTATGACTTCTTTCCTGTTATTATAAAAAAAAAAAGTTATAAGCATGAAAGTGGACTTCCCGGGAGGGGGGGGGGGGGGGGTGGATTCCATATTAAAAGTGACGGGGATGCTCGTCGGAAAATTAAAATTAAACCCCTAAGGGAGACCAATGTGGGTGCAGTTCTAGCTAAACTGACCCCTAAAGGAGACCATACTAAACAAGGATCTGAATATAATAAGTGCGAGGGATATCGTGTTCTTTGTTTAACGTTACATTAGTGTGTGGCCAGTGTCACGGCTATTTTTGTAAATTTCTTTATGCACAGCCTGAAGTGATACCCAAATGGGCAAATAGAGTGACTTTCCATCCCAAACACCCTAAGTAAGACCAAAATCTGCAATTTACACCCCTAAATGAGACAGAACATCCCTGTCACTTTTATATAAAAGTCCCTGCAAGGTTGAATCATTCCATTATTAGGTTAGCCTGTTATAGATCTGCCTTTCCTCTCCATATGTTCCTTGTAGACAGCATTTATTAAAATTGTATAAGAAATTAACTTCCTGTGCCAGAGTGAGAGAAACATCGCAGAAAACTGGTATGTTTGATCCATGTGATACTATTTTAAATCTGGTCATGTGGAACAGAAAACAGAACTTGACACTCAACTGGATCCCATTTCTGCAAAATTGTTTACAATCTGCTCTGTGTGAACTGTACATTTTGCAAGTTTGATACTTTGAATGGTAATGATGACTGATGGAGTTATTGAAATGTGGTGCAATCTAATGTTCATGTTATTCACTTGGTATGGAGTTTAAGCAACCTCCCAACCTCAGCAATGACGTCAGGGATGGCAATGAGAATGGGAAAAATGCAAAAGGGTTTAGATTAACAAAACAGTGTTGCATGTGCATTGTGCTTTTTTGTTCATTTCCTTGCTGTTGTTGCACGACTAGAAAACGATTTTCTTATTTTTCTAAAAGAAAAATTTGCAAACATTTTACAAATTGAAAATGATTGGATAAGATGAATAGGCTACGAGTAGTCTCTCTTTTTTCTTGGTCTGTCAAGCAAAACGCCCGAGACACACAAATGCCCATGTGCGTGACTGAAGGCGCAAGACGGGAGAGGCACGACAAAAGAGAGTTTAAAACAATGTGAATGAGAATTTATTTTTTCAATTGACAGTTTTGCTGTGATCACTGTCTTGGTTGCTCAAGCTCCCTAATATTAGTCTCTCATTACTGAACAATAGGAGCAAAGCCACAAAAGACAGTGAGAGAAGGTGGACTGAGCTGCGGCAGTATATGGAACCTGATAATCACATTTCTGTGCCAGGACCATCTGAAGATTCCATTTACAAAAAACCTTCAATCAAGGTTTGCCCTCATTTCCTTCTGTATAAACCATTTAGTCCTTGTTTGGCTCTGCTGTATTTCGCTTTGTTGTACTAATCAAAGCAAAGATCAGGAGAATGAAGGATAAATCAAACAGGATCAAATTACTTGGTATCATTTTCTTTGTCTTCTTCACAAGATACATGTATGTACATTTTGTCATTATAAGGATACCAAAGGAGAATTTGTAGTTTGATTTTAGGGACAAAAAGGCTTAATTGAAGGATACAAAGAAAATCTTGAGTATTTTGTTTAACATAGTAGTATGGTAAATGCTCAAATGAGTACCCCGAGCACTTACTTAATTTTCTTAGTTGTAAGGAGTTGGTGGGGAGGGGGGAGGGGGGTGCATATTTGAAGGAGGGTGCTAAATCAAGCCTTTACAATATTAAGTTACATAACTTCATATGAGTGAAACTTTCATAGTGGTTATTGCTGAGTGGGGCCTCATTAGCTACCTGGGATATTTAATGGAACCCCAGAATTATTATAGGGCTACCATGTTTTAGTTTCTGTAGGTTTTATGTAAGTTTGAGTTCCTAGTTTATTTAGGTAATAAATTTTCATAACTCTTTTGCATTATTTTATTTGATGAAACATTCCCGTTTTTGAAAAGGATGTGCAATTCTGTTTTTACTATCACACATCATGCTATCAAACCATTCAACACAGAATGTAAAGAATGTGGGAAAAGAGAAAAGATAAATATGCAAAAAGCCTCAACAAGAAGCGGGTCTGTGGAATACACTGTACATTGTATTTTTTTGTGTGAGATACTCGGAACAATGTTTTCTAAAATTTATAAAGCTGTGTATGGAGGCGTCATGTTGGTGTACCTTTGAGGGGCACAAATATGGCAACCAGAAACCAACAGAAACATTTTTGTTTGAGTTTTTCTACAAAAGCGTGAATTTATGGCTTGAGGAACTCTTAAAGTTTAAAGTCATATTTATTCTGAGACTAGTAATCTCCAAAACTTGGTAATATTATTAACCTGCATGAGAGCCTTCCTGGTTGCTGTCTAAATGCTGCGTCCTCTATCGGAAAACGAAGAACCCTTTCAAACCAAGAAAAATGTTCACATAAACGTGTTCAGCTGCTGTAATACCCCCATCAAAGTATACACTCTGAAGAATTGATAATTCTGTCATTTGAATTTTGGTGACATCATGTGGAAACTGAGAATAGGTGGTTTATCCTTCAGAAGTACATGTATTTAATAAATGTATGAACTCAATTGTGTTATGGTTTAGTCGATTCATTTGTTTCAATGGTGTCGACAAATGAGACTTCACTATAACTACTTATTTGCAATCTTTAGGTGTCACATTTGTGTTTTAATACATAATATTACTATTAAACAATAGTATTTTCTGTGCAACTTTCTCATTTTTGAGGCCAAGAGAAGTATATTTAACTTATACATTAATATAATGACTTTTAGGATCAAATAGAAGAAAGTCTGGAGGCTGCTGTCAGAGAAAGGAGGTTTGAGGTAGCCGAAGGACTCAATAAAAAGCTGATGGAGCACAACTTTGCAGTGAAGGTGGCTGAGGCAGTTGAATGCAGAGATTATGCCAAACGGAAAGCAGTTGATGAAGAAAGAACTAAGAAGAGAAAAAGGTCAAGGCCATATTGGGCATTTGAACAGAAAGCAAGATGGGAAAGCAAAGGGAATATGTAGAAGAGGAAATAATTTAAAAACAAAAACAAATTCAGGCTGCTGCAGGCGACCTGAAAGGCGTAATTGATTCTTTATCTGTTTTAATTCAAACCAAGTTACCTAGAGTTAACTCTTGCCGAACTGCGTTTCTCCTGATTTACGAAAAGTGTGGGTTATTGTTTTACATATTTCTGGTTTGTAAATATTGCATTTGGCATAACATTTCCACTTTAGTAACAAGTTCCATCAGTTATACATGCACCATGGAATAGAAATCTGAATCTGCGCCATCCCCACGATCTGAACGCCTGGAACAGGCTAGTACATTACTAAGAGTACTCAGTGTACCGGCATTGAAATATTTCAGTAATACCATTGCTTTCTCTTTCGCTTCGTTTCTGACTTAAAATATAGTTTTTCTATCCCCATTTTTACCTTTCCCCCATACAAGTGATTCGGCAAACTTTCAAGCGCTTGTAATTAAATTACGGCTGAGTAACACCAGCGGAAGACCAGGCTGAGGGTCAGGAAATCCTTTCTCAAGAGCTAAACAGTGACATTTGTTGTAACAGTGCTTGGAACTAATCCCGTTTTGTTTTCTTTTCCTTTTTTATTTAAGAAAATGGGATATGGGCATTTATGAGCCACCTTCCTTCACGAGAGGAACTTTTGCAAATCGGATTACATAGTGTTTGCATTTCCTAATACTGTCGCCCCTCTCTCCTTCGCAGAAGCTCCTGCTGGGTAACCCAATAGAAATAACCATAATCGAAAAGTAGAAAGCGCGGAGGACATCGTGCCCCGCGCGCTTTCTTTTTTCCTTCTTCCCAGACTCTCCGCGACACAAAGAGTCCAAAGAGGCCTCCTCTGCGCCGGAGAGGAGAGCCGTCGCCTTTGTTTGAACGGTTATTGCGTTTGACTCGCTACGTTCATAAATGTCCTTAAATTCATGTCACCTAATACATTACTCTGCTTATCACACTCAATAACTTATACAACGATAGAGCTATTTTAATAGACTTAGAAGACTTTAAAAGACTTCTTGAGATTAAACATTACTGCTACAGATAAGCCCGCCTGCGCGACGGGCGTCGCAAGGGGAGGGGAAATTAAGGCGGGAAAAGAGAGAAGGGACTGATGATTCCCTTTTCCATTTCGCTCTTTACTCCCGCTCCCCTTCCCAGCCATTTTTGCGCCTGCCATACAGGCAACCATCGATGGCCAGGGCAAAAAACGAATGTCAATGAATATAGTTATACACGCACTTACCCTTCCCCACGTTTAGAAACGAAGCGTCGTTTCCTTTAATCCTTCATATCAAATTCCCGCTCCTGTCCCCTCTTTTGACACCTAGTGCGTGCTGTAATGTCCCCCCTTATGACCGGGTAGAACTCCACCACTCCCCGGGTAATCCCGGAATTGGCCGCGTTAAATGGCCGCTATCTCCCGCTTTGCGCATGTCCGTTTGCAGCCGTTTACTTGCGTATCAAGACAGGTTTAATCGAGCTTTATCCTCTGTTGGTTTGATACAGCTTTGTAAAAATAAAAAGGACCATTTTCATCTCATGTCATTTGCCAACAGGACTGGCGTAATGACAGTTTCTTTTGCACCAGATTTACATTTTTTTTTAATAATGGCAATAATACAGGTTTCACCCGTATTCGGGGAACACTTTAATAGGGGCCAACAATTCCTATAAAGAGTGTGGATGATAGTCTACCCTAAAACCACCTCCCCTATGATGTACTTACTTTAGCTTCAAGTAAACAAAGAAGACAATGAAATTAGTATGTATAGTAAAACTGATTGTGCGTACAAGCAAGTCTACCACCTACATGTACTTCAAGGGTCAGTGGACTCTCCACACCTTGCATTTTAACATTTTTCACGCATCAGACACCGTTTCCCTTCGTGATACAATCATTAAGAGATCAAAGTTTCAGCGATATTTTGCAGTTGTTTATATGTTCTTAAAATAAACACTAATATTGATGCATAATTGTGAAAGCTTACGTACGAAAGTTACAATATTAATTACTGATCTAAGCGTCTTTTTAGACAATAGGATGTTATATAATTTTTCATAACAAAAAAACTCAAACGTGACTTGTTTAGTTTACTTATAAACACCATGGTAATAAATCTTTTCTGAGTTTCATGATCATTGTTCTTTTTTTTTGCATTTATGTTTATTTCATGTTGTAGCTTGTATATTGACTTGCTAGTCATTTAATGAATCGAACATGGCACAGTTAGTGAAAACTGAGTAATTAATAATTTCATGGTAAACGTTGTGATCTTTACGAGTGCCATTATATAACGTTTAATGTAAATATGACTCATATTGATTTAACCAATTAACACTGAATTTTAAGTAAAAACCAGAAAACACACACCTTAGGCAGCCACCTTTTGGTAAATATTCTCCCGTCCCACTAGCACTATGATAGAAAGAAAGACTGAAGTCGTATCATTCACTCAAGAAGATTGTCAAGTGCTTATTGTCCTTCATATTGTTGTGAAATAAAGTAATGCTTAAGTACTTTTTACTAGGTAAACAATCAACAACCATAAAATAGTTGATATGTCGGCTGTCAACACTTTTGTTACGTGGATGTACGTTCGTCTGCGTGAGAGGCTAGACTTTGCCGGGCTCATAATTTTTTGAGACAATTAACCTCCATTGCTAAAAGGAAAGTTTAAATTTTGAGTGCAGTACTGATTTGCAAGTCGCAGTTTGCATGTAATCTTTATTGCAAGGGTGACCAGCGTCTCTTGCAGGATTTGTTGAATTGAGGGTCTTGAAAGGATAGTAGAGACTGACGTCAGGAAAGCTCAATTACTATCTGGTAGCCTGGAACCGGGGAAACAATCAGGGGCTGCAGATTGTAATGAATTGATATTGCGAATAGTAATACAATAATAGTCATATTTTTACGTGAAAATTACGAAACAATTACATTAGTTTGTAAAATGGAAAACAACGTGTTTTCGATCCATATGGTAAGCACGGTTTATTTCATATTAGGTATTTTGAGAACGGACCTCTGGAGCCAGGGTATCCAAAATGGTTTTCAATGAAGGTGATTGATCATACTACAAAGATAAGCTGTATGTTAGCTCACCTTTGCTACTTGCAGTAAGTGGACTGAGGCACTATTTTGCCGGTCACCACTCACCAATCTCTTGTATTAAACACCTAAAAATTTCAGCCAATCATGGACACGTTAAGTCGATTAAAATCTAACTGGTTTTCGTGACTTACTTTCTCACAGTGTCCCGATTAATTTTTTTTGACCCAGGGCCAAAGAAGTTCCGCACCCAGAAAACTCGACAATAAATAGAGTTCATTTCTACGAATTTCTTCAGTCTCCCCATCCGGATTGAGTTTGTTTAGTCGTGCATGACCAAATGCTCCAGAACCATCGGAGTCCCATCGATTCTCGATCTGTACACAGTAATTTTTTTCAACTCTTCATTAATCGTTCACGATTAGAATATTTTCTACCACATGGTTTGTCTATTTCACTAACCGCACAAATTTAATCCACGAAATTTTTGCGAATTCAATAAGTTTGCAACCAAACAACAATATTGTTAAATTAACCGTTTATCAGCGGTGTTAAAACATGCCCAATATTAACAAGAAATATTTCATCTTTTATTTTAAGGGTTGAAACTGAGTACTACCCAAACAGGGGCCAAACTGACAAGATCAACTGTTACACGCGGACACATTCTTTCTTCTTTAGGAACAGTTGACATGGCTACAATAATCCATGAAAGTCTTGCTTAACTCAACCTCGGCTCCGAAAAGCTGCTTAAACGAAATTACCACAACAATTAAATAACAAAATCCTGGTTCCAAATTTCCCGGAATATATACGAATCGAGTCCAATTTTTAACAACAACCAATGTCTGTCAAAGCGACCCAGTTTTGACAACCTTTAATAGACTTACAAATCTTTGACGAAAGAAAAACTGAACAAATGAGAAAATTTCCCTAAAATCTAAGGCCAACGTATCTGTTTTGTGTATTATATTCTAAACTATTATATTTGCAAAGCCAGTCTCTAGATTTCCACTGATGTGACGGCGCAAAACACAGAAGCCGGTAATTATCGCCGCTATTGTTGTCCCAAAATTCTACTCCAAGGACCTTATAGCAAATGGCGAACTCCAACTTGCAGTCTTTAAGGAGAGTCGTAGGTATTGGCATCTCGAAGGAGAAAGTGTCTGTGAATCCTGCATGCGATTCTTCGACGTACTGTCCGACGACATCACGACAACTAGACCAGCCGTCTATTGTGTAGCGAACTGTGACTTTCTTATGGTAGGCTAAATTTCGAACTTTCACGGTTCCAAGTACACCGAAGTCTCTTACTACTATCGTTTCTAACGAAACATTCAATCTGTTGAGATTTTCATTGAAGTCATGTCTTTTCAGTGGTTGAATGAAGTTTAGTAGTTTGGCATTTTTTAAATCCTGAAACGCACACCAACTTCGCGGTGACAATCTGGCTTTCGGTGGAGCAGGTGTTGGTAAATAAACGACAGAAACGAGAGAAAGTCCCATTGAATCCGCAAAGCGAACTTTTCTCTCTTTCTTTGAAAGTTCTGTGTCACTCTTGCTGCAGGAAGTACTTAGTGTAACTTCACAAGATTGTGTTGGGGGCATGTTATTCCTGACTACTCACGAATACGAAACGATCTTCTTCAATGAAGCTTGTAGTTGACACGGACTTTCACATAAGTAGGCGCTAGTCCAATCGTAGAACCTTCACTCAATCAAAGAAGGACGGCTTGTTTGCTAACAGATAAAAGTTTACGAGACTTCCTGAACTTCCACTGACGCTTTAATCTTCCGTCCTCGACTCTTCCACGTTCGTTAACGTCACGAAAATACATTATTTTTCCTGAAGTGATGTTTATGAGACACGAAACCCGGATTTTTGCACGTGAATGTAGTTCAACCACACAAGGTTTAACCAATCGCTGTCCACCTATAATTAAAATCACCACGTGATTCTACGCTAATGTTTACATTATCACGTGGTTATGTGTAGTGGTGTGAACGGCGATTTTGCAATCCGAAGGAAAAAAAAAAATTACTTCTCGCTGAATTCTTTGATTGTAATCGAGGATTGTGTTTCTACTACTGCTGCAATATCGTTTGGAATGATATGACGGTATCAAAGACACGGATTAATGAAAAATCGTTGAAATTTCTGCATTTATTCCTGGAACCGATCACTCCTGATCTTGAATGGAAATAAAACGTTTCGGACGAAACTTTTAAAAATTAATTGAAGTAATAGAGTAATGGTTAACTGTTAGATCCATTTTAACTAAGGAAAGAGTTCGGGAACTTTTAAGCGTAACAACGCTGAAAACAGAAAACCCAGGACCTGATAAAACGAATAATATTATATATTGTTTGAAGATATATAAATTGAAATCATTAGGACTAGTTCGATTAGCATGTATTTTTAAAGGGAACAATACGGATCAACAAAACAACCTCAGCGAAATGGCATTATCTGCTAAAAATTCCCATATAATACGATACTGGTTTGTCAAAAATACGTGACTAAACGATAAATTGAGTCGGCTGGTAGCTTCGAAATCCCTTTATTAATTTTCTTTGTTGTCTTTTGAACCGTCATGACCTGCGTTACCGCGTTCGAACTTGTTATATAACTTTTCGCGCCACGTGGAGCCCCTCTTCTCACGTGCATCCGTTATACCTTGTACCCCGCTTGTACCTTTCCTTGTATAAGTCTTGTACCTTGGTACTAAAACATTCTGTGACTCGACCAGCAACGATGAGTGATATGTCCGGTAAAAGGGTCCGGTTTTGTTAACGGAAGGAGGTTTAATTTTTGTTGAACGATGTTTGCTGTTTAGTAAATGCTTTGAAAGCAAGAGGGCAGATCGATTGCAAATTGATCAAATAAAACCAATATTTTCAAACTTTAAAAGTGGCTTGTGTGATGCGTACGTAATATGATCCCGGGAGGTTCACCCTACAGATAGTGTATTTAGTGTCGTCACGCAATGATCCTAGGCGTCAGGACACTAGCAGACTACCCTGGACACTGACAGTGCTTGAAAAAATGCGCGACTTATGAGGTTTGTCATTTATATCGGCCCAAATACTAGAAAAAAGGCACCGTAACAACCCAAATAGGTTAGGTGTTGACAGGCTTAGTAGTTCCACCCAAATTTACGCGTTTCCGAGGACCTTGTAAGGCTATCCTAATTTTGAATGGCCTGAGGGCCCGAGCTAGGGGGGAACCGGTAACGGAGGATAGCCTTTAAGGATTGCCGGTGACGAGCCAAAAGAACGTCTGCCGTGGAGGCTACTCTTAGAAGACTAAGAACTTCTGTTTTGGGGGCTACATTTTTTTATACACACCTTGGGTTAAAAATTCGGATGGGACAAAGGAATCGGCAAGGGAAAGGGGAGCTTCTAGCGCGCACTGACTCCGAGTCTGTATGTAGGCGTGAAGTACCTGTAAGTGATCGTTAGTTGTAAAAAATAGAAACACACTTAGCCTCCCACGCAGACGTTCTTTGGGGTTCGTCACGCGTTCCTGCCGCTAAAACACACTTGTAACCTTGAAAAATAATGCGTTGAGCTGTAACAAGCCTCCCACGAAGACGTTCTTTGAGTTTCGACAAGCCTTCCTTCACAACCCTGAGAACGTCTGCATGGCATGGGGACGAATACCAGTTCAGAAAAACAAACAACCAAACAATGAAAACATGCAGAAATGGTGAACCAAAAAAGAGACTCTCCGACTCCCTGACTTCATTATTTTGATGGTCCGTCCGAGTGTTATTACCTTAACCCTATCAAAATTCAACGTCTCATTTGTTGTCCCTGTATGTTTTCTGGTGGGAACAAGTTGTTGAAGTATTATCACTTTGATGCTCCTCCTGTAATCATGACCTCAATTCTTAAGACCACTGTTTTACAGGGCAATGATATTTAAAGGACAAATTTCATGCTGATCATTCTCGCTCCCTTGTGGACTAGAGTTTCGTTTTCTAAGTCGAGTTATGGCCATTTCATTCCGACTTTGAGGGCCATGTGTTAGAAAACTCTTTACTGGGTTAATCAGGTATCTACCCTCTCAAAATAAAGAACATTGTATTGTATTGTATTGTGCTAAAAACTCACGTTTTATCGATCACTTCGCAAGTTTGGACTTTATTCCCTGTAGGGTGAGATGGTTTCAACCTATACACCTTTACGAAAGATGATACGTGTAATAAAACCTTGGATCCCTTCCAATTATGTTGACTAACAGGATCACCAAGAACTCAGCCCCTGTTTACCAATTCTACAAGTCATATCATTAAGTGATCACAATCTTAGCCTGCAGTGCAGGCGTATTTTAGGTGGGCGAAACCTTGTTCGTGTTCGTAATATTGTTGTAGCCGCCATCTTTGATTTTATGACAGTGGAAGATTGGGGAGAGTAGAAATAGTAACCCTTACGATTCTCTTCGGGAAGTTTCAACATGGCGCTTTCGCGAGCAAATTGCGCGCTCAAAGAAGACGCCTGCACTGCAGGCTATTACAATCTATATAGGCTCGATTACCAGCTGCTGTTCAGGAAAATGAACCCGCACTGATCCTCTTCGGGGAGGATCAAAGACCGGACCGGGGAGAAGGCGGAAATCGAGCCTAAATCTATACACATGTATTATTTTACAAGTTAAGACGTTGGGCGTGGGATTTAGAGGTTTTATATCAGAGAAACAGATCCATTGCTTAAAAGAGGTGCTATAGCACTATAACGCATGATGTGTTGTGCTCCACTCTCAAGGTCAATAGGATCTTCCCTAAAAAAGAAACAAAAGTATCACTGCACTAGCTTGCAAAGCTCAGAGATACATTTATTACAGCCGTCATCAACCTCTCCCTTGGAATCATTATTTGACTCAAGCTGGATATAGCAGTAAAAGAGTGTGGTGGCTATCAGCAACCCTTACTGCCAGCATTTTGCATTCCTTCCAAGGAATTGATTATTCTGGAGTGCAAATCATAAGCTGATAATGGGTGGGGTCAAATCAGGAGGGTTGGAACCATACATGTAATTCTTTTGCCTGCGTGCAGACGTCTCCTATTTGTCCCTTTTCCGCGTGCAACAAAGGAAATAGGAGACGTCTGCACGCAGGCAAGTAATTCTTGGAAAGAACTTATCGTGGAATTCTTATAGAAATCTCTTGTAGTCAAAAACGCGTAAATCATGGTGTAGCAATAAAGGAACAATTACATACTCAGGATCTATCATAACTTGATCTTGATTTTCTAACACCTTGAGAAACACATATTTGTCCATATTTGGTCTAGGAACTATAAAAATACAAGGAAAAAAAGAGAAAAATAAACACAACAGCCACTAATGGTAAGAGAAAAAGAGCTACATGTTGCTATGGAAGCTGATGAGTTTATTGTTTTTTACTTTTAGGGTGTAAAAAAGGGCACTTGCTCAAAATTGTATGGAAGATAAAAAATGATTTTACATCCATATGAAACATCTATGATATGTATTAAATAATGATGCCATAAGCAACATGATGGTGATGTTCAACTTTCTTTGCAGTACATACTTTAGGGTAGACTTTCTCAAAGCCTGTTTCCCGTACATCATTCATCTCACAGCTTTGTCGCTTCCTTTGCAAGTGTTCCTTGCGCCTTTGGCGCTCTCTTGCTGTCAACTTGTGGCAAGTCTAATTTTAGGGCATCCATATTATGGGGGCAGGATTCTTTACTTAGCAGAGCAAAATTAGGGAGCTTAAACAACGACGAGGGCGACGGCCACGAAAGCGGCACTTAAAAAGTGAATTTGCGCTGCTTCAAACTTTACCGCGCTTATTCCATCTCGTTTAATTTGTCAAATGTTGGCAATTTTTTTTGGAGTTGAATTCTAATGGACTGTATCAAAGTTTAGGAAAGGAAAAGGAAAGTTGTTGTCTCGTGTTCCCGTCCTCAACAAAAAGTGAAATTAGGCACTTTCACGTTGTAGTCGTGCAACGACGGCAAAGAAATGTACAAAAAAGCGTGATGCACGTGCAAAGTGCTTGTTTTGCCAATCTAAACCTATTGCGTTATTGCCGTTCTCTTTGACGTCGTCGTTGCTTAAGCTCCCTATTATCTGAGGGAGGGATCCTTACCAGATTTCTTTCTATCAATATTCTGCATGTTTGCAGGCATATGTTGCAAAGCTAATGACTTGAAGAGACCCTCCATGCTATCGGCATACCTGTTAATAAGTTTAACTTAAATATTAGTCAAAAAGGCAAAAGAAAGCATAACCTAATGGTGCCGTGCAAAGCTACTATTTAATATATAACTAAAAATCAGACAAACAAATTGGAATTCACATTGGTGAATTCCTCACTTTTGTTTGTCTTTTGTCATTGAAATGTCATGTTTGTCTGACTTTTGTCATTAAATTGACAAAAATGTCAAGGTCAGACAAACACTGCAAATTAGTCACTCTGATGTCATTTGTGCACTGTGCTATTAAATGACAAAAGCTATTAAACAACAGTTGATGCACTGGTCCTGGTTGTCACTATCCAGTGGATAAGTATTAGCAAAACGATAATTTATTGTGTTATCCACTGAATACAGAGCTCTCTACTGGATACTGATTATCCACCTTTCAAACAACTGAGCCCAGGTTAGTAAATGGCGATGGTACAGTAAGCCTAAGCACCCTATGGGAGAAAGTTCTTTACCCTATTCCGATTTTCAGTACATATTCAAGACTTAAATTCTTCTTACCATTGATAAGTGTTAAGCAAAATGACACCACCCTTAGAGATAAGAAGTCTCTGTCTGATCTTTCATACTCTACCCCAGACGAACCACACCCTAAACAGTTCTTCACAACCATATACATATAGCGAAAGATACAGGTTAAGTGAAGGCTAAAAGTAAAGCTCCTACTTAACACGATCTACATGACACACAGTTAATTCATTTTCATACGGTCATGTGAGAGGCCAAAATTTTTTTATTTGGATAGTTTACCAGAGTACCACCCTCTGAATGCGTCCCTTTTTCTCCTCTACCCCAATTATAGGGACATTAGGATAGCATGGCAATGACAGCATCGAAAAGGTCTCTTAAAAAGTGAATCTACATTCCTCCAATCTCTAATCTATGACGATTTTTCCAACTAGCCTACTTTCTCAAACTATTCTGAAGTGGAATTCCTAAGAACCACACCCAAGTTCAAAACACAGAAAATAACTATTTCTTTGTCGCTTGTTTACATCCCCTGTAAAATGTGAAATTTGGCATTTTCATGTCATAGTCGTGCAGTGACAGCAAAGAAAATTAATGAACAAAAAAGTGTGATGCATGTGCAAAGTTGTTTTACCTATTCAACCTAAGTGCTTTTTTGACATTCTCCTTGCCATTGCCGTCAGGATATCTTAAACTCCCTAATGACTCCCTTTGAAAGATGATTTTATTTCACTCCTCCTGTGCTATAAGTGACTTTACTCCGACAAAACTCACAAAATTCAGTTATTTCACTCACTCCTTAGCATACTGCAGTTCCTCTGGGGATAATCTTGAGGGTTCACTTTCATCTCTTGCTGCTTCTTGTTCAAGAACATGAACAACATACTTTTCAATCTTAAGAAAAAGACAGAAAATAATTTATAAAGTCAATAGTACAATAATCACACTCTTTCCAGCAAAAGCTAGCATAAACAGCAGCCTAACTTAACAGCAGAAGTCAGTCTGCTCAAATAGTCATACTACGAATGAGAAGACCTTAACTTCTGACTTGAAATAAGAGCCTACCTTTTCTATTCTTGTCCGTGTGTAACTACTCAGGACATATCGTATTCTGTCAATCTGCATGTCAAAGACAACATATTGTAGAGTAATTATTAACTCTACCGGATAATGGAGCCACGATTGTCAGACGTCACTTAATTAAATAAATATCAGAACAACACGAAAATCTTATCTCCTGTCCCCCTAAAACCACATGGGAAAAAGACAAAAAGAAAGTTATTGATTTCCAACCTCTAGTTTATGTAAAGAAGCTACAACATCTCCCTGTTTGACTTTCTTTAGATTTCCTTCCTGCAAAAAAATACAGGGTTAATTTTTATGGTTTGCTTACACTGTATATGAAATTTGTGCACTTTCATTGCCTACTGATACATGGAAGTTAATGAAGTGCACCATAATATCCCAAATCTTGCCAGCCTTGTTGCATATGTGGCTGTTTGAATGCTCTACATTGAAAAAGCAACAAATTGTAAAAGAAAAACAATGGCAACAATGGTAAAACGTTAAACACATAATTAACCTTCAATAACAACATCAAAAAAAAAAAAAAATTCCAAATATGCACGTTAATATAAAATTAATACAACTACATTTCAAATTAAAAAAACTTTATTGAGAGAAAAAAAGCAATAAAATCTTTGGAAATCGTGTATTGTACACCATTAACTCACTCTAACCAGCCAATCAGCTGCCAGAATTTTTAACTCTTTTTGGGCATAATACATTAGAACATTTAAGAACTTGACGTCTAAGTTGGATTTCTCAAGTTTTACATTTTAATTGCGTAAATACATGTAAATACATTTTGCTTATCATTTACAACATTATGTAATAATCTTGTGATCTACTCTTTGTTTTAATAACTTTTAACTGTGTATATATTTTAATATAGTTTTAACTAGAAATCTTCTCTTTCTATTATTATTTTTATTTTATTTATTTATTTTTTGTGGCATGTCTGTAAGTAGCTAATTAGCTAAGAACATTGACCACGTTAAATAAAGGTTATTGTATTGTATTATTATATAATAATAATTTGAACTTGCCATTTCTTTAATCTGATCCAACATGCATTCAACAAGATCTGCCTTGCTCTCCAAAAGTTCAGGAGCAAATTTTTCATTCACCCAGGCCTGCATTTTCAAAAAAAAAAAAACATCAGAAGGCAGAAGGAGGTCTCCAGAGGCCATTTCTGAGGGGGTAGCAACAAGACGTCAGCACCATAATCTCTTCATGAAATACCGTAAAATTCCGAAAATAAGCCCCAGGGCTTATATTTTTCAAAGGCCCTTTTTGAGGGGCGTATTTTTGGAGGGGCTTTTATTCGAAGGGGCTTATCTACGGAGGGGCTTATCTATGGAGGGAAATTTGTGTTTCAAAATTGATTGGGTTAGTCTCATAGTTGGAAGTAAAGTTACTGTTTTTGCTTTGTTTTACTTTATATTTGAGGGCAAATTTCCAAGTACAAGCCCCCGGGGGGCTTATATTTGGAGGGGGGATTTAACGGAGGGTTTTTTGTGTTACTGGATTAGGGGCTTATATTTGGAGGGGCTTATTGTAGGAATTTTACGGTATCCTTTTCTTCTGTAGAGGGGGGCGGGGGTTATTAAATCAGTCCTTGCGTAAAAGTCATAATAGGACTTCTTGTTAGGGGGAGTATGTCCATCGTCTGAATTTCCAAAGCGGTCATTTCGCATATTGAGGATTCGGCCATGTCAATGCCAGTATTTAACCCATCTTTATGTTGTTTGTTACCATTTAATCTTGTCTTATGTTGCTGTTTCAAGGCCCAGGGGAGGTACTCTGGATTTCAAGTGATTGATTGATTGAATGAGGGTAAAAAACAAAACCCCCAAAAATCCCTGGACCAAAATTTAACCCCCAAAAAATCACATGCCGAATTTCCTAGCCATAAAAATTTCCAGAAAGCATTAAATGACTTTTTGGCACAAAACATAGAAACATTAGTTTTGAATACCCCCAAAAATCCCTACTTAAATCAAGCTACCCCCCCCCCCAAAAAAAAAGAAAATTGCCAAATTTTCCTACCCTCCCAAAATCCCGAAAATTGAAAATTTCGAACCCAAAAAATTTCTTTGATCATCTCTGTCACTTGAAATCCGGAGTAAACCCCTGCTGGGTTTTGAGGCCATTTTGCTTGTTGGAATTTTTCCCTAACAGGGCCTCCATATCACCCCATGTATTAAGGAAATCCAAGGTAGTCTTGGGTTCTGGATTCCAGTCTTTGTCAGTGGAACTTGGATTCTGGATTCCAATGGTTAGCGGGATTCCGCATTCCTTACGCGGTATTCCAGATTCCGAAGACCAGGATTCCGGATTCCACAAGCAAAATTATACCGGAGTCTGGATTCTGGAATCTGGATTCCCTTCCTTGGGGCGATCCATAAGTACCAAGTTGGTAATCAAGTGAAGGCTGGATAACCAGCTGCTTTTGAGGTCAATGAGCTGCCCTTGGGAGAACGATGGAATAAAGCCTGGCCGGGAGGGTGGAGAGGGGGGGGGGGTGGGGCGAAGGGTGTGTGAGGGGGGTAGGGGTTGGGCGAAGTGTACATGGGGACATTAAATGGAAGGGCTCTTTACTTCCCCACTTCTTATACTCCAAGCTGTTGATAATTTCCAAGTTTAACTCAACCAACTGGTTGCTGCCGTATTTCAAAAAGCATGTCGCATCTTCTCTCTGGTGGATTGGGGATGTTGTATCACTGCCTGTGGGGAGTCAAAAAGGGAGAAGATGGGAAACAATGGAAGGGTGGAGAACCGGCTGCTTTGGAGGTCAATGAGCGGCCCTTGGGGGAAGGGGGGAAAAAAGGCTGGGGGGGGGGGGGGGGGGGGGGGGGGGGTTGAGCGAAGGGTGTGTGATGGGGGTAGAGGTTGGGCGAAGTGTACATGAGGACATTAAATGGAATGGCTCTTTACTTCCCCACTTCTTATACTCCAAGCTGTTGATAATTTCCAAGTTTAACTCAACCAACTGGTTGCTGCAGTATTTCAAAAAGCATGTTCATTGCCTTTTCTTTGACTAACTCAGTTACAATTTAATTGAGCTCAACTTTAGCTAGTATAAGCTTAAAATATTACGTGTACCTCTTCCAGTTGAGCGAGCACTTCAGCAGCAGTTACTTCTATTTCTTCATCACTTTCTCCACCACCCGTGGCCTCTCCGCTTAACAAAAACTCGTCTCCTTCGTTTTGAGCCATAGATTAACCGCTAAAACACAGGTAAAACTATCTCCTCTGTAAAAAATCTGGCGTTAAACTACACTGAAATTTGAAAACATTCAAGTAGCTGCCATATTGACCAATTTGGCGCGAACATAAGCGCGAACGCTGTTAGAGCACAGTCCTTCCCAGTCATTTTCGGCCGTGGTCTTCCAGTGCTTTTTAATATGGCGGCCATTTAAGAGCATTCACATGAGATACGCAAAATCGGCCAAAGTTTAGCTTTTGGAAGGTCGCATGATCTTTGTAAATCGACGGCCTCGATTGGCTAGTCCAGGTTTTAACGATCTTAGTAACACATTGGTCCTCTATCCGTAAGTCTGCCACAGTCTTCCAAGTTTTCTTAGTCTGCTCGTTGACATCTCAAGTTTTCGTCTTTAACAGCTTGAAATTGCGTCGCTAAATCGTCGTTCTTTGGTTTGATCGTTGACTCATTATTTCAAGTGGAATCGTCTCTTCAAGGTAAAGGATGGAGGGAGTAAAGAAAGTTTACAACGACATCCCGAAGTCCCCTCGTGATGACCGGCTGTACCGCGGTTTAGAGCTGAACAACCACATGAAAGTGCTGGTTATAAGCGATCCCCTTACTGACAAGGCAGCGGCAGCGATGGATGTACACATTGGTAAGATAATGATCTTACTGTTAAAATTTAAAACTACTTCTTTACTCAGAGGCAAGCACACGTGCTGCGGGAAAAACTTCATCACTCAATGCTTAAGTTTACCTATAGTTTCATCAAAGTTAAGATGACTCATCATTCTAGGATTATTAATTAGCTTTAGTAGACAATATGAAAATTTTAAAATTGTATGCATAATTAAGGTAAATGAACTGAATTATTAAATGAACGTCTCGAAGGTGCATTTACATGTATTAAAGGAAAAAGTAAAACATCCCCAAAAATATTCAAAAAATACTAAAATTGTAAGGTATACAGGTAGATTAATAAGGGTTTCTATTATGAAGCTTCAGATTGGTTACTACGACTTGTCTTTTTTTAAGTGCTTACAAAAAATTGTAATTATTTTACACTGCTTTGGAATATCAAAAATTTCATGCTAGTATTCAAATAATTAAAAAAAAATATGCAATAGGCCTTTTCTGAGTTCTCTTTTTCGAAGCCAAGTCTGAATTAACCTCTCCTTGAAAAATCAGCGTCATTTGCCTGAGAATAATAAAAAAAGATTCTCATTGTACTAACCACCCAGATATTAGAAAAGTAATATGGTAGTATATGTTAAATGTCCCTCTAGTGATGGAGTCACATTTTGAGTCATAAACATAAGTACAGAGCTTTATAATCCAGTAAAATTGGTATTCTGATTCTGCTGACCAGTCTGTCAGTTATGATCTAATACCAGGTTGTCTAAGGCAGAAGCAGAAGAACGTACAAAATGTACATCTAATATACTGGTATTTAGAAATATGTACTATTATGCTAAATGATTTATGTAACTGGGCTTTAAGTCCCAAAAGTGACCAACATCAATTTTCTCCTAGAATATTATCAAAACAAAGTCTAAGCAAAAGGTTTATGAGAGCTCTCTTTTGCAAAATTCTTATGCTTTTCATGCTTCAGGGATTTGTAATTTAGTTTATTTGTATCACCACCAGGCAGCATGAGTGACCCAGATGATCTTCCAGGTCTTGCCCATTTTTGTGAACACATGCTTTTTCTAGGAACTGAAAAGGTGAGCATAGTTCACCGTGTAGTTTTCAGATATTGATGGAATTTATAATGTATTATAATAACATTTATAGTTAAATTTATAAAAATTGTTGTAATTTTTAGTTTTGTCTATTGAAGTTACTTAGTCCGCTAGGACATTACTTTCAATAACATGATTGTATGCCATTGTAACTTTGGTAAGAGCTTCCAAAAGCAATGTACCTAGTGAATTACTTGATTTTTTCTTTTCTGCTTTGCAGTATCCTTCAGAGAATTCTTTCACTCAGGTGAGATCTTTGATTTACCAAACAAAAAACTAAAAGTGCTAGTTACAGCTGTATAAGGCCAAACAAGCTATTGTAGGGCTTCAATTTGATTGCTACAATTGCTACAGTGGCTGTTATATGAAAAAAAGGTTAGGTGAAAATAGTGATTGTTATCATCAATCAAATAGAAATAATCAATAATATTTATATTGTAGTGATCACAATGATCATTGAGACAAGTATACCCAAGTTGTTCAATTTGAGTTCTAAGTGTGACTGTTCTCAGGAGTAACAAAGTTTCTGTCAGTGCTCCAAGCCCCTTATACGTTGCCATTGTTTCCGGTTAGTGATGTTCACAGAAAAAAAAGACAGCTTGCAAGACTGGTTTATTAAAGCTTAGTGGTCCAGTGTAAATACGAAAAAATACTGCTATGCTGTTACATGACACATTCGTTTTGAGACTGACACGCCCAGAGAGCTTGCTTACAGGCTATCGTCACACTAAATTTATGTATACATGTAGAGGATATTACACAGTAGCGCGAAGATATGAATTTTATTTTCGAGTGGCAAAACAATATTTTACGAACGAGTGCAGCGAGTCAGTAAAATATTGTTTTTGTCACAAGAAAGTAAAATTTTATATCTTCAAGCCGCCGTGTAATCTTCTTTTTATTATATAGACAAAAAGACATTGATAAAATAATAGAGGGAAATTACCAAAATTACGTCATCGATAAACTCACGTGTGAGATCATAGAAAATAAACCACTCGGGTCCCGGATGTAGTTTTTATGAATTTTACGAGTGGTATATTTTCCAGTAAAACACTCATGTCTATATAATAAATATATATAAACAAAATTACTGTACTTGGATTCCAAGGTGTGACCACAATTCCTTGGTTCAACTATTTTCCCTTTTTGTGTAGCTTTAGTAGCTTTAGATACTCATAAAACAGAGCACTGATTGAGAGAATGGGAATGATGCCTTGCCTTCAACTTTTACATTGTAGCTCTTTTTTACTTTGCAGTTTTTAAGTGAGAATGGTGGTTCTTCCAATGCCTTCACTATCAGTGAACATACAAACTTTTACTTTGACGTCAAACATGAGTGTTTAAATGAGGGGCTAGATCGGTAAGTTGAATTGTTGCAAATTTTTAACTCCACAAGAAAGATAAGGATGGATTCCCTGAGTGCTTACCATTTTTTACGTCGGAAGTGCCAGAGATCTGGGGTCACAATAACCTACGATCTGTCTTGGGGTAAATATGTCTCCCACATAGAAAACAAGCAAAGTGTTAGGTGAAATCAAGGGATCCATCAGAAATGATAATTGGCATGCATTTCCTTGCCTCTATGTAATACTTATGAATTTTGATACAGTCCATTGTTTGTTAATGGCAATAACCTCAGCACAACAGCCATCTCTTTACAGTCACTGTGGCATAAGAGAAGTTTCTCATAAACAGTATTTCATGCAAATTGAATGTCTTTCTATTTTTTTTAGATTTGCACAGTTCTTTCTTTGTCCATTGTTTAATTCAGATGCCACAGATAGAGAAGTCAATGCTGTTGATTCAGGTAGTGAGATAATACTTTACTGAATTATGCAAATTTAGTCCTGTTAGAGAATAAGAAATAGGAAATTATAAATATCTTGTTTACCTCAGAGAAAAATTTCCCATGCTGGCAAAATTAATGGCACTCAACAATTAGTTATTTGAAATTATGTCCATTAGTCATTGAGTCCTTGAAAACTGTTTACGTACAGCTACCATCAAGTCTGCACAGGCCTTTTGTTTTTATTGAAGACAATATGATTTTTAAGGATCAACTTACACAGTACAAGACAATGATCAGTTTCTGGTGAGGGGGCTTGAAAAAAAAGATTACTCATTTACATTTATAGCATACTGTCAACGCAAACCGTTAGTAATGATTAATTTTGTCAGATGCACCATTAAATTTTACATTGTTACAATTAAGATTGTCTTTTTTAATTTCCAAGAAAAAAAAGAAAGAAGTACTGTGTGATGCAGTTTCTATTTCTGTAATTCCTGGACCTGCTTTCACATATCCAAACATGTACAGTCAAACCCTGCTTTACAAACACCTGCTTAATACGAACACCTCATTATTATGGACAGTTTTCTTTGTCCCTGAAGAAAGAAAATTCTTACATATTCTCTAAACTCAACCTGCTTAATACAGACACTTTCTATGGCCCCCTCAGTTTCTGTATTAACAGGGTTTTACTGTTCTGTAAAACCCTGTGTTATGGACACCAGCTTGATACGGATACTTCATTATGATGGACAGTTTTCTTTGTCCTGGGAAAAGAAAATTCTTCCATTTTCTCTAAATTCAACCCGCTTAATACTGACGCCCCATAACATGGATACTTTCTATGGTCCTCTCAGTATCTGTATTAACCCTTTAAGCCCCAATATCCACATACAAATTCTCCAGACTGATCTCCATACATTTCTTTTAAGAATAGTTGAGAGAATTTGGTTTAAGACCAAAGCATTCTTCCTTTGGTAATCAATTTAGTATATTTCATAACCTTTACTCTCGATGATCTGCTGATGTGGGACCTTAAAGGGTTAACAGGGCTTGACTGAACATGATATGAGAAATGTTTTTATTCACAGAGCACTGTAAGAACCTGCTGATTGACACATGGAGATTAAATCAACTTGACAAATCATCAGTGGACCCATCTCATCCTTACAGAAAGTTTGGATCAGGTAGGCCTGATTAAAATGTCAACATTATTATTTATTGATGTGCTAACCATGCGGGATGTGGCCTCCCTTTCCATGGTACAACTGTGCAAGTTTACACCTTTAAGACAAAGCTTCACTTGAATTTTTTCTTCTTTTTCTGATTTTGGTGACTTTAGGGAACAAACTGACACTGGAAACAAGGCCAAAGGAGAGAGGACTGAGCACTCGGGATGAATTACTTAAATTTCATAATTCATTCTACTCTGCCAACATCATGGCTTTGACTGTCCTCGGTAGAGGTAAGCAGGCAAAATAACATGAGATTTGTGTGGGAAGTAGAAAAAATCGAAGCCACTAATATGGTAATGTAAGGCCTAGGCTAGCCTGCGAATACAGCCAGTTCTCCTAGTTCCTCACCGCTAA